CCCCAAAACCCCAAAACCCCAAAACCCCAAAACCCCTTAGGCTATTTTAGAGATTGAAAGACTAATTTAGCACCTTTTTGGGACTTCCTTTAGCATCATTTTTGTGAATGTTTTGGAGGAAAATAGGTATTCTTTGGTTTTTGAGGATCATAGCCTTTTTGAACATCTTGGCGGATTTTATGAAGGCGGGTTGGGAGCGGAGTTCATGGATTTTTGAGAGGTGGGTGTCTTGGAGAGAGATGTCGTTTGAGGGAGATCTATGGTTAGTTTTGAATTGTTTAGAAGTGGGGATTGAGGAGGAGGAAAGTAGGAGATGGTTGAGGCTTTTGGATTTTGAAAATTCGAGTAATTTAAATAGATTTTTGTAAAATTTAAATTTTATAGTTTTGTTCAAAAGAGATGCAATGAGATTTTTGGTAAACTATTTAGTTCAAAACTGCACTAACTGTTATTTTATCGCACAATCTTGATCTAATTTAAAAATATTGTGCTTACTTTGTTCCATGAGAAACATTATTCTTTTTCGATTGCACAGAAGCTAATTTATTTGTTGAACAACTTTCCTGAAGGAAGCATGAAATAAGGTATTTTATGTTTTTCCTGCTCAGAATCTAAAATTTGTGACAAAATTATAATTACCTTCACAATCACTTCTTATATTAGCCATAGATCTTCTTGACTGGCTCATTGCTTTCCATTGGCCTAGTCTTTTACGCTCAGATTTAAAATTCTTAGAAGAAGCCCTTGAAATCTCATCTTGGGTGCTCATTCTCTTACTCCTCAGCCTCTTTTCTGGAGAAAAGATTGACTCTGCTTCCATATTAACTTTTCTTTGCGTAGATATATGGAAGGCCTTTTGAGGCCTTCCAGGTCTCTCCTTCACAGGTTTGTCAATACTTCCTACACAGCTATCTACATCTCCCGATGTTGGAAGATAATTTGACAGATTTTCAATCTCTTCGCTGTGAATATTTCCAAACTTATTTATGATTAAAATATTTGAGTGGATTCTCTATCACATGAAATTCTTGTGATAAATCATAACCGTCAGCATGAGGGTTGAACTGGCTATTGAAGTTCTGGGACCCAGAACGCTGAATATCCAGGTTCAATGCATTCCTGTCGATTTTCTTTATATCAGAAACCTTTGGAATTGTATATGGTTTAGCAGTTCGTCGAGCAAGCTCGACGACGTTGTACAAATCAAATGGGATATCGTCCTGGTAGTTATCATTTGATGTGTAGTAGTCCTTGATCTCTCCAGCAGAAGAGAGGTCTTTCTGACCCAAATTTTCCTCTTTGATCTTACTAGCAAAGGAAAGCCTCTTTTCCATATCTTTTGTAGTTCTAATCTTCTTCATGGCAGCCTCTCCTGATGATATTTTGGCATTTTCTGAGAAATTTAGATAGCCTTGTGGCTCAAAATCTGCCTCAGGCTTGAGATTATTAGCCTGGAATTTGAAATTCAGTTTGAAATCTTTAGTTTTTTGGTCTTTAGGTTTATTTTTAGAAATAGCTTTCCCAAATTCTAGCAACTTCATTTTTGATATTTCTTTAAGCTCTTTGTCTACTTGAATGGCTTGCTCCTCATTATGGGTCTTAGAGGCATCTTTGACACCCTTAATGTTTGGTAAATCAACTGAGGATTTCTTTTTAGACGGAAAATCTTTCTGCATTTGCCTCTCATGGTCTGGCTTCATCTCATTTTCATATTTTGTTCGGACCAATTTTTCAAATAAATACTTAATCTCACGCATAGTAGGGATAAAGCGTGAGTCATGGTCGATCTTATTGCTATTATTACTCTGACTAAGATTAGACTGAGATTGAACCCTTCTTGACAACTTAGCACCAAGATGATACTCATTGCCCAGGGAAATATAGTCCCCACGCATTGCAATGTTGACCATTTCCTTGAGTTCCTCGTAATTTTGATTATTCTGAACACTTGTCTCAGGAGCCCTAGGTTTGATTGGGCTTACCCTTGATCTATTGAAAGTGCTCCTGTTGCCTCTAGAGATCCTTGTTTTATTACTTTGTGAAGTTATAACACTTGATTCCTATAAAAGTCATTAATATCTGCTATAATTTTAACGAATTACATCATTAAAATAATTTTATTTGTTTTTGAAGCTCCAGGTAAAATTTTAATATCAATCTAATGGCTGTGTTAAATATGAGAAATTCATGGAACTTTAATCCAAATATGACCTTAAGATACAAGGTAAAAACTCATCCTAGATCTCTCTTCTTCCATTTTCTCATCCCTTGGTAGAACATCTAGCCTTGAGATCAACTCTAAGCTTTCCCTCACAAAGTGACCTTACATTTCTAAAATGTAGTTTTTTAACCTTGGGATGCCTCTTAAGATATCCGTCTGAAACAATGAATGCCATTTATGAAAATAAATTTCCACGAAAATAATATTATAGGGGTTTTGGGGTTTTGGGGTTTTGGGG